GGGAGGCCCATGTTGGTAGGCCTTCGTTCTGGTTGAGTTTTAGTCCTCCATTTCAGGGGCGCGGTAGTTGAGGGTTTTGTGCGGTGCGATCCATCATTGCCTTCTCAGAAAATGTACTTTATGCAGGAACTTCTTCAGCAGGAGCTGCTTGCCCTGAAGCGACAACGAGAGGATCTGCAGAAGGCGCGCTTTCAGTGCAATGTGGTGCGTGGGTTACATGCTTGGGGCTTGGGGTAGGCTGAGAGGAAAAACAAGGAAGCCCGGAAAGCGGCGCAAAGACGCAAGAAGCGCTTGCGTCAGGCAGGCCTTTGTTGTCCTGAAAGAGTAGACTAAGTGTGCGTTTCCCTTGTTAGGCGGCCCGCCAACTTTCCACCGCTGACCTCAAAGCCTTGGTAGTGGCGAAGGAGCGGGAGGAGGCTGCAGTTGCTGCCGCGCGTGCTGAAGCGGCTGGTCAAGGCTAGGAGTGCGCGTGTGAATGTTTTCTTTTGGTCTGCCTGCGCCGCAATGCTGTTTGGGCAGGTGCCGGGACTGGTTGAGGCTGATGGCTGGTAAGCCCGGTGTATTAGCTGGCCCGCAGATTGCAGTGACATGTGCTGCCTAATGTGGGATAAGTGTAATGCTTGTTTCTACATTTACAATGTGGAAAAATAGCGCCTCTGTGCATTGGACAGATCCAGGGACAGCTACCGGTTCAAGTCAAGGCTTAGCGTGTTAGGTAGCGCAAGCGCATACAGGCTCGCGGCTAACAGGCTGCTGGTGACCCAAACTGTGGAGGAATCGTGGAAAAGCATGTCCTGCGCATGTGTGTGGCTCACTGGGGACAATGACCAACTCTCAAATTCTACAAGCAGACACCGCTTTCTTTTTTGGGGGGGCCAGGCGTTTGCTAAGCGTGGGTTTCCAAAGCAAACGGTGGTTGGTGAGAATGAAAATGCACTGCCTAGACGTCGAACAAGTTCAAACCTCAGGGCCCAGAGTTACCTGAAGGTATGTGCGCAAAAATGCATGCCCTACAACGACAGAAAACGACCAGACGCACTCTACGCAACTGCCAGTGCATTTTTACAAAGTTTTGTCGCCAACTTTGCACGGTGCGCTTGTTCGTTTTGGGTTTTAATCCTTTCAAGAGTGTCCGCAGCGATTTGAGGGCAATGTGATCTCTGATTGATGTTAGTCACTTGTTTCACGGTCAAGCTTTTGTGGAGAAACTCCTGACAACGAACACTTGCGACCTCTGACTTTGTTTAGTTTTCGCAAGCTGTCATGATTGCAGTTTGATGAGATTGGGACTGTCCGCAGCCGTTTGACGGAGTCACAGGTTTTATGATCCAGCGTGGGCGTCGTAGTGCCGACGTGTCCTTAAAACCCTTACCAAAGAAACCTGTGGTGCATGCAACTCCATTGTCTTGCCCAAGCTAGTGTTGTGTTTGCAGTTGGGATTTTCGGAAGGCCCGTGACCGCCTGAGGCAATGATTTGACGCTGGATGCGGCGAGCGCAGACAGGGTAAGAGCCTGCAGAGTGTGTGTGCATTTCTAAGTTTGATAAGTCTCGCTCTGGGACTGGTTTCTACAGCGCCGGTGGCTGGTGAGAATGAAAAGGTTCAATCGTTAGTGTTGTGTTTGCAGTTGGTGTGTTTGGAACGCCCGCGACCGCCCAAGCGTAGACAAGGGAGGGGCTTGCAGGGAGTGTGGAGCGCTCAGCTCACCTTTGCCGCATTTCTGAGTTTGCCAAACTAAGTACTTGTTCAATTGTTGAAGAGGAACGCACAGGGTTTCTTGTCATAGAGATGTGGAAGACTGGTAGAGACGCATGTGTCTTCGGTTTTCTGGACCTTGAGGTGAGCCACGATGTGGTGGGGGCACCTTGTCACGCAGTTGGGCAGGCCAGCCAAACTTCGGCTTGTTCTTGCGTGGAGAGTAAGCGAGTGAAGGTTGCAAACGCTTCCTTTTCTTTGGCGTTGAACTTGTTGCTTGTCACCAATTCCGATCCCTTCGCATTTGGTGGAAAAAGAGACGACTGGTAGCCAGTGTCATACTAAGTACCATGGGCGGTGCGCGCAATGTTCAGAGAGAGGCGCAGGTCAGAATTCTGGTTTCTCTCGCCCAGACGCATGGCGTGCCTTCCCTCCCTGGGGCAAAGGCTGTGAATGCCTCTAGGCAGAAGATTTTGCAGCTAGTTGCTGCTTTGAACGAAGCGGCTCTTCCGGCAAGAGACAGGGAGCAGTTCGAAAAAGCAAAGGCTGCTTACGACGCAACGTTTGCCGTTGGAGTGCAGGGTCCAGACGCACCAGAGCAACCCAACAGTGAGGACAATGAGGCTGACGGGGCAGCCAGGACGTGGAAGTTCCAAGCTGTGCAGTTGACGTACAGTGCTGCCACCCAGGAGTGGTCGTCACATGAAGCTGGAGTCCTGAAGCGATTATTTGATCGTTTCACTGCATTTATCCTATCGTTGGCTTCGTCTTTGATGGCCCGGGGTGCTTCTACAACTATGGAGCGTGGGGTTTTATCTCCTCAGCATGTCCACTGCCACGCCTATTTGCATTTAAGCAAGCCCTTCCATAGGCGAGGTCGTTCTGCCTTGGAGGTGTTCCGTTTTGAGGGAATCAGCCCACATCTTGAACCGAACACTGCAAGTGGGAAAGCGTTCACAGGGGCTGTGAGATATGGGCACTTCTATGTCGTCGTTCAGAAGATTGGAAGCTTGTCACTTGGATCAGTGTTCAGTCTTTGATTCTTTAACAGAGCTATAAGGAGTGACTCGGGAAAAGCCCCGGGCTAAAATTCTGAGGTGCAGCGGTTGAGTTCATGGTGGGGACTCTTTAAATAGTATTATAATCCCCCGAGTCCCCGAATGGCCTCGTCGGCCTCGTCCAGCGTAGAGAGGCAAGAAAACTGTCAGGTTTTAGGGGCCTCGTCCGGCCTCGTCATGTTTCTCATTCAACGTTGCCCAGCGTGGGAAGCACTTTTCAGAGCAGGCCTCGTCAGGCCTCGTCAGGCCTCGTTCAGCGTGGAGAGGGGAGAAATTCGTAAGGTTTTGGGGCTTCGCGGTCTTGCCCATCATTGTGAGGTTCCAGCACAGGTCGGGCCTCGTCAGGCCTCGTCCAGCGTGGAGAGGGAAGAAAACTCATGTTTTAGGGGGCCTCGTTCGGACTCGTCATGTTGCTCAATGTCGGAGGCCTCGTCGGGCCTCGTCAGGCCTTGTTGAGTGTGGAGAGGGGAGAAATCCGTCGGGTTTTGTGGGTTTGGGTCGAGCGCAGGCCAGGCCTCGTTAGGCCTCGTCCAGTGCGGAGGTCATCGTTGAAGACCTCAATTGTCTGATCCTTTCTTTAGAGAACAAAGAGAGAGACAGAAGGCAGCGCCGTGTGACCCAAGAAGGGATGAAAGACAGCGTGCAGCCTGGATGCAGGGTTTGGGCCACCTGTGCTTCTTTATTGGATAGATTTTGATGTTTCTTTGACCACCTCAGGAGAAGGTGCAATGTGACGAAAAGAAGCACCTGTCAGAGCTGTGCAGAGTTTGAGACAGCTTGAGATTGTTCTTCACCTTTTTTGGTGGATATGAGACCTGTTTTGGAAGACTATGAACAGTCGCCTCTTCTGAGAAGGGATCTAGAAGCTTTGAGACAGTCTGAACCGACTGTGACTTTGGCCCAAGTGCGGGATCAGGGGAACTAAGGGGTGGACTTTGTCCCTCACTCTCAGAATCCTCCCTTAAGCCAAGTTACAGTGGAACAACGACTCTGCGCGAGTTACTATATACCCATGGAGCCTCTTGCAAGTGTTGCTTAGATGTTTTTTGCATGCGCCCAGGTATGAGCACACCAACTTCCCGCCGTTTGTGGCTTATGCTGTCGAAGGATGGTGGTTGGACAGCTTGCTAAAAGCAGGAAAACTGTCGCGAGAGACTTACCTCGCTTTGGCGGCAAAAGTCACCGTAGGCTTCCAAAAGCGCTTGGCAGACGTCCGGGCAGCTGAGCGCTATGAAAAAGATTGCGCGCTGGACTTGGCCATCAAGCAAGACGCCGTTGCTTTGCAAAGTCGGAAGCTACCGATGCGGGTCTTCCCCGAAGTGGAGGCCTTGTCTCTTGTCACACGGGGCTTCCAGCCTTCCGGCGACCCATTCTGGCGATCAAAGGTGGTACTAGGTTGGGGAAATCTTTGTTGGCCGGCGACGTGCTACAGCGCATTGCTGACCAGCTGGGCCTGCCAGGGTACATTGAGATAACAGTTGAAGATTCCCAAAGCATGGACTTAGCGGACTTCGATAGGAGGCGCCATGCAGGGGTGCTGCTGGACGGGGTTGGTGACGCTCTATTTCTGAAGCAGAACCGCGAGGCTCTGCAAGGCCGCCCCAAAATCGTTAAAGGAGGGCGGTCGGCGACGAACGTTTACTCCTACAACTACTCCTTCTGTGGACGAGCTGTGGTGGCAACTTTCGACTTGTCTGCTGCCAATTTGGAGGCCCTGACGGAAGATCATTGGTTGTCCAACCGTGAAAATGTGATTCTTTTGGAGCTCAAGAGTCCTGCCTTTGTTTTGGAAGTGGAGGGTGGTAGTTTGGCCATGTCTGAGACACCCCACCAACCACGCCAAAAACGGCGCTGGGTGGGGTCCCCTGCACGCTTAGAAGAAGGTATGACACCTGTGCGACAATTGCTTTTTGAAGGAGCTGAATGATTCTGAACAATGACAAAATGCGTGCCTGCGCGAGTCCATGTCTCCGAAAATAGATTGAAACAATTTGTGTAACGGGTATTTGTTGCAGGTTCTGTGGTCTGCTGCGGCCAGAAGGCAGGGACAACTCTTCAGGGCCGAGTTGCATCTTGAAGTCAACGTCATTGGCGGCGCCTTTCCAATTCCAAGGAGCTTGGCTGACGCGGACAATTCCGGCGCTAGGTGTTGCTGATTTGCAGTGACCTGCTGCCCCCGCCAAAAAAACGGCTCGCAGCAACAGTGTGTGGAGGACGGTTGCTTTTTGTGGCCCACAAATCACACTTGAATCCGAGACTGTGCCCGCAGCTTTTTGCATTTTGAAGGTCGAAAGGTGTGTGTGTGGGGGGTGCAAACTGAGAAACATGCCGCCCAAAGCCAAAAGAGCAGCTCGGAAACGCTCTGCGCTGAGTGAGGCTGGGTATGGGGGGGCAGATTTTTCTCGGCAGTCTTGTTGCAAAAGGTGATGAAAAGGGCCCTGCGTTTGGGTACCAAAAGTGGAGGCCGGAGAGGTGTCGCTAGGACAGGCC